CTGGCTTTGAACTCTCAAGCCTCCTGCACCTCAGCAATTCAACAATACTATAAGCAACCTATCTCAAAAATTGGTTTAAAAAAGGGGATACGGGGCTGGGATTGTGGCTCAGTGGTAGAGCGCTCGCCTAGCATGGGCAGGACCTGGATTCGATCCTCAGCACCACATAAAAATAAAATAAAAATAAAAGATGTAGTGTCCACTGAAAACTAAAAATAAATATTTAAAAAAACTCTCTCTCTCTCTATTAAAAAAAAAAAAAAAAAGGTGGACAGAGTCAATCCCTGGTACCAAAAGAGTCAAAGGACAGTAAAAATGTGGCAGAGTCAATGGATTAGGGTTAGGTATTAGAAGGAGTGAGCTGGAGAGATAGGTAGTAATCAATGGGAAGCTTGAAACTAAGATAATCAAAAGGTTGAAGTTATTAGTAATAGGAACATCAGTGCAGAAAATAGGAGACTGGAGCCATAGTCCAGGCAGTAGATGAGCAGTGCCTCATATGGGTAGAAGAAGGGTAGGCAAAGAAGCAGAAAGACTCATCTTTTTGTAAAGGAAGTAGAACAGACAGTGCTTGACAACTAGAGGCAAAACATGTGGGAAAATATACTACCAGATTCTGGGAAAAGAAAAAAACTGTATGCTTGTATGTGAACATAAAATGCATTTTCAGCTCTAAAATAGTTTGAGCTAGGTATAGGGTCACAAGCCTGTAATCACAAGTTTTGAGTCCAGCCTTGGCAGTTGCAAGACCCTGTCTCAGAATAAAGAAACTAAAACTAGGGTGTCTAGGAATGCACATCTACAGATACTTGTGAGTATGATTACTGTCTGCTCTTAACAAGATGATGCTTTTCTTATGGGAAAAGGAAGATGGTTATGATTGGGCCAGAACCATGGAAGGACTCTGTAGTGACCAGCAAAGTTCTGTTTCTTAAAGAGAATTATTTCTTGACCTAGGTAGTTCTTAGAATAATTCATTAAGCTTTACATTTAATTCATTTGGTTTTCTTTATGTGCATTTTATTTTGTAGTAAAAATATACATTTTGAAATAAATAAGTAAAAATCGCCAGGAATGGTGGCACATGCCTATAATCCCAGCAACTGGAGAGGCTGAAGCATGAGGACTCAAATTCAAGAGCAGCCTCAGCAACTTAGCTAGGCCCTAAGCAACTTAGGGATACCCTGTCTAAAACTAAAACAATAAAAAGGATTGGTGTGTAGTTCAGTGGCCCTGGATTCAATTCCCAGTACCAAATAAATTAAAAAAGCAAAAATCAAAGACAAAAAATGGTTAGTGGAGAGAATCAACAGGCTAATAAAAAGACTTATCTTCTCCCACAACCCATATTCCAGAGTAACAGCCAAGATTATCTTAAGCAGACAGGACTATGATGAGCCTGGTTTCCCTCTAAAACAGATTCTTAGGGAGCTACATTGAACTAAATCCCTTCCAAAAGCCAAATGTATTTACTGTAACTATATCAACATTAACAGAATATTGCTACCTATTTCTTTTGTTATCATTGTTGATAGTTGGCTTTGATATGCATGTATTTGTGTGTGTGTGTGCGCACATGCACACACACGCACACACTTCATTTTTTCCTTCCACCATAATTAATCTGTATCTTCTTATTTCTTCCAGAATGGATTTTTGTCTGCATTGCCTTATTTTGGTTGTTGGTTATGTATGATTCTGTCTGGTCAAGCTGCTGACAATTTAAGGGCAAAGTGGAATGTTTCAACTATATGTGTTCGCAGAATTTTTACCCTTATTGGTGAGTGAAGTGAATCAAGTTTTGTTTGGGGTTACA